CAATGCAAATGAGAAAAATGGGATGGTTATGATCCCAGTTTCTGTCATTTAGATTAAGTAGAGGAGTGGCCAGCTCATACAGAAATTTGCTAGGAGCCCACAATGTGGGCTTTCTATAGAAAGAGGGTGAATATTATGTTCCCGGGAGACAGTCCTATGTTGGTCTCTTGTGTTACTGTGCATTTTGGAAAAAGTTCTCACTAGGGAAGAGGACACGCAGGGTTCTCTGGCAGTCATCTAAGCCCGCCACATGCACACACCCACCTACAGGCTCCACATCGCCTCGCGGGGCCTGATCCCAGGAGGACCAGCATTCACAGGAGATAGGCACTGCGTGCTATGCTGTGCATGTGAAAGTCCTTAATCTGCGAGCACGGTGTTTCCTTCCAGTATTTGCCAAACTGATGCTGGCTGACTTGTTGGCTTCCAACTACACTGCAAGAACTTTTGCAATTCTTGACACTATTCTATTCAGAATCCTTAGATGTAAAAGATCCTGGGGAGGTAGTTTTTCCAGGTAGGAGTGAATTAGAAATTCTGCTAGCAAAATAAATAAATAAATAAATAAATAAAAGAAAGTGCAGAATGGAATGGTGCAGGCAAACAGCTGCTTCTGCTACAGATGAAGGCAGCCTATTTTGGCTCCGTGACTATGTTTCTGTGTTTCCAATGACAACTAAACCTTCCTAGTAGACATACAGTGTTTTCCCTTGATGCGAATATGTTGGAATGCTTGAAGTCATTGTCTCTCTGCAATGAAGATGATTCTTTACTTTTAATTGGTGAACTTCTTTTTTTATTTCACAGTTTGTCAGAAATGAATTTTATTCTTATTCCTACAGTATCAAATATCCTAGTGGTTGAAAGCAGGGCCTGTGAAACAGACCCTCATAGTATGAAGGTTAGGGTCTTGCCTTACTTGCAAGTTCCCTGACCTCCCAATTTCAATTTTTTTTATTTGTAATAATAATTACTAATAACTACTGCAGAGGGCCATTAGGAAGATTAAATGAGAACATACTTAGAACAGAGCCTGGGCATATTAAGTTATCTGGAAAGTCATGAGATTTTTTTCTGTTTTTCTGTGCAAAAATACTTCATGACTTTTCCTGACAACCCAACAGTAAACGTTCTTTATAAGATGAGCCTTTGGGCAACCCCTTTATAACTCATTCCACATGTTAAGAGTGTAAGCTCAGTCAGACTTTAAATCTCAGCTGGGACGCTTTTTAGTTATGTTTTTGTGAACAAGTTATCCCTCAGCTGCTTCTGTTTCCCTATTTGGAAAATTGTGACAATAATATTACCTACTTCAGAGGGGGATTTAGAAGATTAAATAATATAATACAAAAAATATATTCTACTGCCTGGCAAATCAAAATGCTCAGAGATACTATTCCCAATATTTTAATTGCTGCAAGACTTAATCATAACTTTGTAGTGAAGCAGTTATTTCTCACATATTGTTTCCTCTTTCAGAATCAGGATCAATGTCCACCCCTAAAACATTCTTTAAAAACTGCTGCCCAGAGGAAGCACTTTCTTTAATACGTATCAGTGGCGTTCAGTCTGCATCACTTAGAATCCTTAACCTACTGTTTTCTCTATGAAAAGAGACATATAAATATTTTACCTCTTTTGTTAATTGTAAGCTACTTAAAGGCTAAGACTACATTCTGTAAAACTTTTTATCTTGTATTTTGCATTGCTCCAAGCAAGTGAGCAGTGAACATTTCCTGAATGACACATTCTTAAAAGCTCAACACTGCCTAGCTTCTTTTCAAGCCTTCTAAAAACTGTCTGGAATCAATCCATTCAAATAAAGTTTCCACATTTTTTTTTCTCTTTTCATCCATTGACTTAGAATCAAAGATGTGGATTTTCTTTGTTAGCGAATTTAACAACTTTTATACGGTGCCCTTAATCATAATTAAATGCTTTTGAAAAAAGTGTTTTTCTAATTAACTGAATATAATAGCCTAAGTCTTTAAAGAAGGATTTTTTTTCTAAGAGAAATACATCTTTAATAATATTTGACCCCAGCAGGCTGCCTGATTCCATCCATGATGCTTAATCCATTCTTTAATGAAAGCAATTCATGAGAAGCAGGATAAAAGTCAAGTATGATTCCAATATTTGAACTGAAAACGATGACACTGATGAATGAATATGTAACTAACACATAGTCTCCTTAAAGTACAAGGTATTTGGATATTCCTATGTTTATTCTGGACTCCAGCCAAATTCTTTACCAGCAAGATTTACTTTATGTATCGAAGGGAAATTTTCTTTCATTAAACAAGGGTATTACTGGAAGTAATATTAATGATAGAAGGTTTTCTTTTCATGATTATTAAATAAGTCAAAAATAACTTTATCACTAGAGTAAAGAAATACATATGTATATTTATTATTTTAAAACAAACCCTGTAACTAACAAGAAACCTAGTGAGACACTACATAATTACAGCATCTTACTCACGCAAAGAAAAACTGAGGAAAAGAAAATGAGGAATTTCTAATGTGTGTAAGTGATTCAGTGACTATGTATTTAGTGTATACTTTCAAAAATATTTTTACCTCATCAATAATACAAATGTCTTCTCCTATAAGAATTTCTGACTAAGCCATATAGACCTTGGAGACAAACTAACAAGAGACTTTCTCTCATCATAAGCATTTACAATCAAAGAATGAAATTCTCATCTTAACGATGGGAAAATGTTTTGATAAAAAATTTCTTTTCTGAAGTCAGTCCCATAGCTCAGCAATTAAAGGAGCCAGATGGCTGACTGCAGTTCAAATCCCAGCCTCGGCAACTTGAAGAATGTGCTGGGTATGTGTGCACAGAATACCCAAAAAAATCTTTATGGGATGGAGAAATGGAGGAAAAAGAATTGCTATATAACCATGTCCAACTGGGGGTGCTTTTTCTCTCTCCCTTTCACTCTTTCTGTCCACCCTCTCTCTCTTTCTCCCCACAGTGAGCATACAAACCCTCTGGAAATAAAACAAAACTAAACCTTTCTGTTCTTTATTTTACAGGATTATTTTTATAGTCTTAATTGAAAAGTGTTTCCCCCCTTCAAGAAAGATTTAAGTTTGAAAAAATGTATCAGTTTACCTTATATTGGGCTAGAGGCCACAGAATACCATTTAAGGGTATAAAGGTCACAGAGCATCTGACTGTTAGAGAACTGACTGCGGCATACTCATCCTATTGATTCCAGAGAAAAAGGGTTTATTATGCTCACTAAATAATGCCATCCGTGAATTTCAGACTTGTGCTGGTTTCAGTCCCTACGTTTACTGATGAGCCAATTATTTTTTATATCCTTTTTGTTTATTTTATTCATTTCAGCCTCTTGGTTTTTGTTCTTCGACCCCTAAGTAATGTGAATTAAGCAACAAAACACAGAGTTCCGTCTCGGGGACAAAGGAGTGTGCTTCTAGACAGTGCCACAGACTTTGGCTGAAGCCTACCCATGGAGTTTAATGGGACTCTAGCTGCCAAAACCCCATGCAACCTTTGAATATTTAGGGCTAAATGTAACTGCCACTTGCTCCCCCTCCCTGGGGGTCCATAGCAGCTCTTATTCCTCCTTTCCCAGATTTCTGCCAACCTGTTTGTTCTCACTGCTACTGCTGGCGCTTTCTGGCCTACTCTTGTGTAACTGTTCTCCAAAACTGTTCACAGTGTGGGACAGATTATGAAAGAAAACAGTTATTTTTAAATGCTTATTTACTTAATTGCTAAGAAAAATAAGTTGCACTAGAGACATTGAAATCCTGATTTTCTTTTATAAAATACCAGAGGTAGGCCCATCCATAATTAACAGAAAAATTTCCCAAGACTGCTCCTCAAAACATAAGCTCTAAGGAAACACACCTTTCAAAATATATGTTCTTTACTGAGGTCTGTTTATTTCTCTTCATTTTGTCTGACCCATCTCTATTCTGTTTCTCTCCCCTAATGACAAAAGAGGGAAACTATATTTGAAGATCATTGGGATCAGTCACAAAATAGATCAATTAAGGAAAAAGTATATTTAAACAACAATAATAATATTTTTGCTTACTTTCCTTTTTCTTGAAGAGGTTTTTGCTATAGGGCGCATGCACTCACCAGACAGACAGAGACAGAGAGATGGAAAGCGAGAAATCACCCCCGGGGGGATGGCCACACCGCAATCCCTTCTCCTTCCTTCTCCTCTCAGGATCTTGGGTCCGCATGCACATGTGCCCAGCGTGAGTTTTAAGCCACCGGGTCCAGGACGCGAACCGCGGTTGACTACATGGGAGTCCAGCGACATAGCCATTTCGCTAACTGCTGGTCCCTTGCTTACTTTTCTTAATGTAACACATTTCCTCCTCAAATTACGGTAAATTCAGGGACAAGGCTTTATGTTACACTTTGGAAAGTTAAAATCAGTGTCCTTTTACTTTCTAGTATTTTTGTGAACTTTCATGTTGTAGGTAACTATAATTATGCAGTAATATCATTTCAGCGACTCCAAAGAGGTACATAGTTAATAGATATTTAAGTCTATACAAGGGTGTTTGCAAGATCTGTCAGAATTTTTAAAAAATAAAATTAAAAAAATATTATTTTCTTTCAGTGTGTTCTAGAATCTATCCAAAATGTTTCTTTAACGTTATAGAGAGGTATACATCTTTTTGGGAAAGATAAAAAAGGACAGTTTTGTCTTTATGACCTCCCATTATTTGAAAAAAAATATCACCATATTTTGAAGTCAGATTCCCTGGGCTTTAGGTACAGGTATTTCTTTTTAAAACTGACTTCAAAGGGAGTTGAATTTAATGACATTAAGAAAAATCTTTCCTTGTTGCTGCTAAGTTTGTAGAAAGAATATGACAAGACAAGAAAAAACAAAATAATATCAATAAGCTCTTTGAAATGTTTTAGGATTTTGTGACATTCCTTCTCGTGCAAATATCACCCGATAAATGCAAAATTCACACCAACTATAAACACTTACCATATTCACTATCATAGAATATAATGAATTTCTGCCAGGCATACTCTGTGACCACTCGCAGAATAACTTCGTTCAGGTAGACAGGTGGGCGGACTGAGAGAGTGTAGTCATCATTCCTGTTGCTCCGGGTGAGGCCACAGCCACTTCTTGGGGTCCCAGCTGTTGAGCGCTGAATGAAGAGGTGAGGAATGTGCATGGCGTCTGCTAAAGACTGCAGGGACCCTGCTGATGTGCAGCCTATGGAGCTGACCAGGGCCAAGATGCCTTGATTCATAAGTTCACAGGCTGTAAGAAAAGAAAGTAATATCCGAGATGTCAGTCAGTTTCATGCATTCCCTTTTTTGAGAAATGGGTAAAAAGCTTATAGAGTTATTATACAAATAATTTCTTTCTTTCTATCTGTCTGTCTGTCTTTCTCTCTCCCTCTCTCTCTCTCTCTCCCTCCCTCCCTCCCTTCCTATCTTCCTTCCTTCCTACCTTCCTTCCTTCCTTTCTTTCTTTCTTTTTTTAAGAAACATTCTACCTGAGGGAGGTACCCAAATGATAAAGTGTTAGTGGAAATTCACTTCAGGAATTCTCCCCTTCTAACCACCTTGTGAAAATGACTTAGCTTCTCTTGGCTCAGTTTCAGAATGGGTAAGGAGGGTAAAACAGCATGAATCCTGCAGGATTATTGCAAGGCTTAGAGATAAGGCACTCTGTTATTTGTCTCTGACATTATAGATATTCAATTCATGTTAGCTACACTTTTATAATTGTCAATGTATAATTCAGAGAAAAGAGAATTCCTTATGAAGTACATAATACAAGGTTTCACAAAGGAGTTAACATATTATGCACTGGTAAATGAATGAAGGAGAGATTATGGATTGGAGGAAGGCATTTCTGGCCCCCCAAAAACACAGACATTCTAGAATCTAAAAATTCGATGACACTGTCTCAATACAGTATAGAAATGAGAAGGATTTTGTTCCTTTCCTTGACGTAAATAAACTCATGATGAAACAAAATGCAAATTTCAGCAATTTCCTCATTCTGGTTCCCAGATGAACAATTTCTGATTTCTATCACATTGTTTATAATCTCTGTTTTGATTTCATTTTAGCTATTTTGTGCATACATATACATGAACCTTAGAATGCATGAAACTAAAGCAAATATAAATTATAAGTAAATATAAAGACTTAGCATATGTAGAAAAGAGAGTTAAAAGTGCTATTTCAGGATGCCAATATTTGAAAGTGAGCGATTGGATATACATTCAAAAGCAAATTCAGAAAGAATCAAGGCAAAATTATTTGCATTTGAGAAGCTTAGTTGTTAAAATTGACTCAGCCTTGATTCTAGATTCTAGATATTCTAGCTATCATATTCTCAGGATTTGGACCCTTTTTAAAAAACATTTTTTAATATAATACTTACAAAGCTTAAATTTTTTTTTTCTTTGTTAAGGTTTTTGCCATAGACATGCACTGGGGACAGACAGAGTGACAGTGAAAGGAAAAATGAGAAATTGCCCCCTGAGAGGATGTCCACACTACAGTCCCCTTCTCCTGCCTTCTCTTCTCAAGATTTTGGGCTCGCATGCACACATAATTTTCAAGCCACCAGGTACAGGACTAGAACCTTGGTTGGCCATGTGGAAGTTCAGTACCTTAACCACCACACCACATGCTGGCCCCAGCTTAAAGAAAAATTTAGATGGTAAGCACTCCCACATAATTAATAGACCAGATAATGAAGCATGATTTCAAGTGCAAGTTTGTAGGTATTAAGTCAATGATAAGCATATAAACATCAAATACCTTTATTATGATTAATATTAAGTAAACCAATATATACAAAATAAGTTAAAAATTATTAGGGACACAGGTTTTTTTTTTTTTTTTTTTGAGAGGTTTTTGCTATAGGGCGCGTGCGCTCGCCAGACAGACAAGAGAGAGACATAGAGACAGAAAGCGAGAAATCACCCCCCAGGGGGGATGGTCACGCCACAATCCCTTCTCTTCCATTCTCCTCTCGGGATCTTGGGCACGCACGCACGCACGCACATGCGCCCGGTGTGAGTTTTAAGCCACCGGGTCCGGGACGCGAACCACGGTCGACTACGTGGGAGTCCAGCGACATAGCCATTACGCTGACTGCTGGTTACCGGGACACAGTTTTCAAACATTGCCTCATGAGGGAGGTTATATTTATTTTGGATAAATGTTAAAAATAGCACCAGGGATGAATGCTACTTAGATCATAATAGAATTTTCAGTCAACATCACACATTCTACTCATGTCCATAAATTCAACATTTACAGAAAGCAGTATCAACTGATATTGATAATTTCAGAGAATTTATGCAAAAAGTCCGGTCAAAATTTTGTTTCATTATTTGGGTAAAGAAATACAAACATACTATATTTATACAAGCAAATAGAAATTCACTTTTCAGAAATATTTTATTTAGATGCTTGGTTCATTTAGCATTTAAAATAAAAACAAGAGTGCCTTAAAGCATGCACAATTGGTTTCAAAATTTAGGTGATCCTAATTACAAGTGATGAAATGTAATATTTTACATACCTGTCACAAAAGTTATAAAATAAAATTATAGAAATTTGAGACACAAAGTTCAGTTCCAGAATTTTATTCTGTCACATATAACAATTACCGAAAAATCGTTTGCTTTAATCTTCAGATTCAGAAGGATATATTGCAAAACGATGAAGTCATATATTAATCAGACATCACAGATACATTTACTTTAGTGTCTCACTTCATCTGTTCCAAACAACTATGTTACTTCCTGTAAACCCCTGTGGCATGAACAAAAACTAAGCCAGTTATTTAATTTTTAAAGAATTATTTAATTTAATTTACTATTATTAATTTTTAGCTTGACCAGAGAGATAGAGAAAGCCAGAGAGAGAGGGGGAAGTGAGAAAGCAAGCCACCATGTCTGGGACTCAAAGTGTGCTTGGCCATGTGGGAGTCCAGAGACTTAAACCACCATGCCACCAGCTGGCTCCTAAGTCAGTCGTTTTTATGTCAGCAACTGTGTTATTTTTCGATTTCTATTTAGTGTTACCCATGCTGCTATGCATATGAGCATAAATAACCAAAATTTTTCTATAAAATAAAAGTAGAAATCTTCAAACACTGCAGACAGAAAAACAATCTTAGACCTGAAAGGCAACTTAGAAACCATGCAGAACAGTAATGGAAAACTGGCTTTACCTGCTACATTAACCATGACTTATCAGTCAGCTGGTTTCCTGGAACTCTATTATAAGAAAGATTTTTGAAAAACTACCAAAATTATTTTGTGAGCTTTTTCATAGGAAGAGGTCAAGAGAATAGTAGCCTATATCCTACAGATGTACAGACTCTTCCAGTGCCCATCCGCCCGCCTTTTCATTGCTCACAGTTGGCGAGAAAACAGATGCACCTCCTTCTAGAACCAAAATGAAAGCCATCTTTTTCACCCATGGCTCACTTGTCACAAGACAGCATGCAAATAACAAGGAATCTTTTATTTGTAACCTTAGAATTTTGGATGGCAAAGAAAAGAAAGAAACTCCTTAGAAGAAACCTCAATCAGAGCTGGTCTGTTGTCAGGTTTGGTGAAAAGATCTATTTCCACTAAATAGCTTCCAAGGAAGAGCTCACACATCTGCAGTGGTTGGGACTGGTGACCTAAAACATAACCCCATTTGGGCACACACAAGAACTGGCTCACGAGGTAACCTATCATTTCCCCTCAAGGCTATATTGGATGCTCATTTGGCTCTATTTTACCAATATAAAATGTTGGTTGAAACACAGAAGATAAAAATTGATTTGCTCCAGATCTCAACCCTTCTCAGGGCCCTAGATGAAGGTTAGTATAAAAAAGAGAACTATTATTCATGACAACTGAAAATAGATTTGAGAAAAACAAGAGCAAGAACAGAAGCAAAGCTTAGTGAGTCAGGCTACCTTTTGCAAGAATTCCATGGTCTTGACTGTTAAAAGATTGTATTAGTTAGAGTTTTCGTTCCATAGAATGTATCCAACAGTTTATTAGATATGGTAGGGAGACAGTTTCAAGTATTTTTGTGTGTATGAGTATATGTGTGTGTGTGTGTGTGTGTGTGTATACCCACTATGTTTTTATTAAAAGAATCCAAACAAAGAACTTTTCAGCGGCATATTTCTTTCTCATGTTATTTCAACCTGTGATTTATTTATGCTTACATGTGCATGCACACACACACACACACACACACACACACACACACACATTCAACATACAGACCACATGAATATCTTGCGGCTTTGTGACTTCAGAGCTTTGAGATTTTAACACTATCAAAGATATCTGGGAAAGTATTTGTATTCTTTCCACAACAGTTGAATGTAATTTAATTTGTTTAATCCATTGATGCATCACACACATGATTATTTATAACTGCTATTTTTTCCTTCTATTCAAAACACCTGATCTTTGCTTATATTTTTAGGAACAGAGTAAGACAAAAACACTTTCAGCCTATCCAGACTATTAGTAATTTTTGCAGATATGATTACCATCTGAGAGGTGGCATTTAAAAGAGGCTTTTCATTTGACACATCATTAATGTAGTTTGCCAAAAATATAATCATTTGCAACAAATTCCTCCAAATAAAGCTTGTCTTTATGTATAAATAGTGTTACAAGGTCCAATTTAATCATAATTGTCTACTTAGAAAGTTAGTATACAGAAAAAATGATTTAATTATAATTAGAAAACATTAAGATTTTATTCTTATAAGGAATGGACTAAATGGTTATTACCAGCTGTCAAATAAACTCAACAGAATAATTTTAGTCAACTAGTTTTTCAATCTTCTAAAGCCAACATGAACCTTTCATTGTAATTAGTGGCCAAACCTAAGTAAAATTAAACATTTAACTTAGTACCTACTATAAGTCACTTTAATTTTCCATTTGCATATTATAACAACCCTATGCAAAAAATTATCCATTATACCATTAGTAAATGGCAGATTTGGGAGTCAGACCTCCAATATCTGGGCCACAGTGAACTAGAAAAATAAATTGCTGTTTTTGAATATAAGTCATTTAAAACATAACTCGCCCCTACTACAATATTCAAAAAAAGTCAGCCTCCTGGATATGAAAAAGGATAAGACTAATAATGATCTTTGATAGCATGCTCTTTCATTTTGAGTTTGGGATTAAGACATTAGGTTTATATAGTCTTAATTCCAACAATAAAGAATATAAAAAAAGAAACTTTAAACATGATTTT